GTATAGATGTGTTTTTAAATATTATTTTTCGTCATAAAAACGCGAAATAAACATGAACCTACAGCGGGTCAATTAGTTCTTCAAATGATACTTTTAAGTTAATTTTATAGTTTTGTGATATTAATAATGCTAATGTATTGATATTTTTCTAGTTTTGATTTAAGTTTGCTTGTTTAGCGTCGTCACAGTTGCTAGGTGACATGACATATGCCGGGGTAAGAAGGGGAGGCTAGACCGTCCAAATTCACAGCCTCTTTTTTTCCGGTCTTCCCGGTCTACCAAGGACCCGGCCCGCCGAGACCGGGTAGTCTGGGTCCTCCGGAGGACCCGGCCTGTCGTTTTGGACACAGCCTTGATGTGTCTCAATTCAGGGGTTGCAGCCCATGTAGACCTTGGCCTATGGAGTCCACACTATTCAAAGTCCTGGTAGGCTGAATAAAATGAGTCAGTCTAAACTTTAGATGACGTGTTTGCTTGATTACACACTACCCTGTTACCATTGTGTTATGTTTTATATCATATCACCTAAAAATGCGTAAAACCTAAAACGTGATGGAACACGTATTCACACAACTTTTCACTGGAGCTACAACTTCCCAACATTCAATGTATTTTACAAACAGCACACTTAAATGCATATTTTCTTTGTGGCCCAATTACCCTCATGTAGGAACTGCCCATGTTGGGAGTGTAGCTTGCTGTGGCACAGTGCGTCTAATTTTAAGCTTGTGTGGATTCACATTTTGTTTATATTTCCAAGTTCTACTATCTTTGTCAACCCAGGCCATTCAATCAGTTGCTTATTAATTAGCTTAGCATAGGGTGAGTCAGTCCCATTGGGAGCTTAACCAGACAATTAAATTGTGGCTATTAGAAAGACAGAGTGGAGACCTTTGCTTGGTTCCAGACAGTTTGTCTTGCATACTGTCCATCTTGCTGCAATGCTGTTGGAGTATACTGTATGTGAGAGGATAAAAAATATATTAAGAAGATGAGAACTGGAAACATAGAAGACAGTAGAGGGAGAAAACTGGAATAAATTGGAAGTTTGATAGTGAAACAAGGGGTCCCTATTGGTAAAATGCATGAAGTAGGCCACACAAACACCTCTTTACTGCAGAGGATTGACAGACAGTCATGGGTCGGTTCTTTCTACTGAAGCAACTTTTTGTTTCTAAAAACAGAACCTATTGTATACCTTCTGTCTGCCATGCTCTGATTAACACATTCAGTTGTGACGTGCATGAAAGCTGTTCTCTTTCCATTTATTTTGAGGCTGAATTTGCTCAATATCTTTAACATGAAAGAACTCCTGTTAGAGAAGCTGAGCGTCACACCTGACAAATGACAATTACAGATTTTAGTTATTGATCGTGTACAGATTATGAAGAGACTCTAAGCCTGTTTAATCTTTTGTTATTTAAGAAAAATCACAAACATGTCAAAACATGTTTTCCATTCAAAGCTGTCAGTTTCTTTTTTTTATTAAAACCAAAAATAAAAACATAACTGGATAAGCATTTATTAAAATGGTCAGAAACATGCATTTATAAAAGCAAACTGTTTACATCAGTGCTTGTCAACTGGTGGCCCGCAGGCCGGAAGTAGCCCGCAGTTGACCTCAGTCTGGTCCATTATCAAGTTTTTTTTTTTGTTTAGACTTTAATGACAAATATTTCAGTCACAGTTTCAATCCTGTTATTTAAATTATCACCAACTTCACCTGCCTACCAATTATTTATTTCAAATAAAAATTATTATTATATATATATATATATTTGAAATTCAAAATCTAATTTAATTTAAATTAGATTTTAAAACAGAGAAAATAAAGTAGACTGTATTTATTTAAGTAAATGTCCAGCCCTTGAGCCATTGGTTTTCATTAATTGTGGCCCCCTGAGCAACATACAGTAGTTGGTAAGCCCTGGTTTACACATTGTCATTTGTTCTGCAGCTACAATCCAAAATAAATAACAACTTTGACCTAATGTAAACATCTTTCCTGGGATAATAGTTTTTCTCACACACATTTGCTTTCAAAGTTGGGTTTTCAGACCCAGTGGAAAACTATTTTCATGTAGATTTTCTCATGAGCTTCAACTCATTTGGGGTCAATATTGGAAATTAATTTAACCCTAAAATCCATGAGAACATTTTGCAAATAAAAAATACAGTTCAACACCATCAAGCTTAAAAAATTGGCCTTTTTTTAAAGAACGCCTTTGATTTGTGAGTAACTTCCGGTGAGCCATTTAATTGAAGTAAGAGCTGAAATGCACAGATCCTCGTTGGACTTTGATCACAAACTGAGGGAGCAGCTGAGTCTTAACCTCAAGATTTGGAATCAAACACTTGCGTCTTTAAGTTTTCTCCCTGCTGAGAGTGTCACAAATCCCCATCTATCAAACTGAAGACAAGACAAGAGGGGGGCTTTCATGCAGGCTTGAATAAATTACCTTAAAAGATTGCTGTCCAGTTAACACCACTGCTGACAAGAGAACAAGCTTTGGGAAAAGAAGAACAAAGGAATACATCTACATCAGAAGTGCCTCGGTGGGGTTGGCCACGAGTCATCATCACTAAAAGCAAAATGTGTTGGTAGATTAAGGCAAAATCCACAAAAAAAAAAAAAGACTTTAAGCTAATGTAGCTCCTGTTTTGTTTGAGGTTCCCAGTGGTACTGTATTCACGACTCTTTCAAAATTCATCAATGACTTCTGAACTGCCAAGAGGGAGCATCAACATGGAAGGGGCTGTTTGGCAATTTAGCGATACTGTCTTCTCAACAAAGAACACAAAGGCAGCTTTGTGGAATTGTGGTTGGTACTGCTGCCTCACAGCCAGAAGGCCTGGGGCCTTTCTGTGTGGAGTTTGCATGTTTATTTTGTGTTTTAGTGAATTTTCTCTACAGTTTCCTCCCCTACAGTCCAAGTCATGCAGATTTTGGTCAATATTAACAATTTTGATCAACTTCTGATGTAGAATTTCAAAATAAAAGAACTCCCAATGTGGACATTTTACAACTATTTTCCTCTAAATTCTTGTCTTTATTGCAGCTAAATGACTAGTTGTCAGAGACTGCTCTCACTTCAGGCTGACTATAGAAGTCCTCCAGATGTTCCTCAACAATTTTGGGCAACTTCTGATGTAGCATTTCAAAAATAAAAGAACTCCCAATGTGGACATTTTACAACTATTGTTCCTCTAAGTTCCTGTTTTTTTATTGCAGCTAAATAGCTAGTTGTCAGAGACTGGTCTCACTTCAGCCTGACTACAGAAGTCCTCTAGATGTTCCTCAACAATTTTGAGCAATGTCTGATGTGGCATTTCAAAATAATGGCATTCAAATATTGACTTTGTTACTTCATGTGCCCCTAAGTTGCTATCTTTATTGCAGCTAAATGGCTAGTTGTCAGAGACTGGTCTCACTTCAGGCTGAGATGTTCCTCAACAATTTTGAGCAACTTCTGATTTAGCATTTCAAAATAATGGCACTCACAAAACTGACATTTTACAATTATTGTTCCCTAAGTTCCTGTCTTAATTGCAGCTAAACAGCTAGTTGTCAGAGACTGATCTCACTTTAGGCTGAACCTACACGTTCTCCAGATGTTCCTTAACAATTTTGAGTAACTTCTTATGTCGAATTTTAAAATAAAAGAGCTCCCAATATGGACATTTTACAACAATCGTTCATCTAAGTTCCTATCTTTATTGCAGCAAACAGCTAGTTGTCAGAGACTCATCACTTCAGGCTCACTCTAGAAGTCCTCTAGATGTTCTTCAACATTTTGAACAATATCTAATGTGGCTTTTCAAAATAATAGCATTCAAAATATTGATATTGTTACTTCATGTGCCCCTAACGAGCTCTGTGATA